GATTGTCCAATTTGTTGGCATATAGTTTCTCATAGTATTCTCTTATAATCCTTTGTATTTCTGTAGTATCTGTTGTCATTGCTCCTCTTTCATTTCTGATTTTATTTATTTGACCCTTTTGTCTTTTTTTTCTGAGTCTGGCTAAAGGTTTGTCTGTTTATCTTCTCAAAGAACCAACTCTTTGTTTCATTAATCCTTTCTACTGGTTTTTTTGGTCTCAATTTCATTTATTTCTGCTCTAATTTTTCTTATTTCTCTCCTTCTGGTGACTTTGGGCTTTGTTTGTTCTTCTTTTTCTAGTTCTGTTAGGCGTAATTTAAGTTTGCTTATTTATGCTTTTTCTTGTTCGTTAAGGTGGTCCTGTATTGCTATGAATTTCCCTCTTAGGACTGCTTTTGCTGCATCCCATTTGAGTTGGTATGACGTGTTTTCATTTTCATTTCTTTGCAGATATTTTTTGATTTCTCCTTTAATTTCATCAATGATCCATTGGTTTTTCAGTAGCATGTTGTTTAGTCTCCACATCTTTGTCACTTTCCCAGTTATTTTCTTGTAGTTGATTTCTAGTTTCATAGCATTATGGTCTGAAAAGATGCTTGTTATGATTTCAGTCTTCTTAAATTTATAGAGGCTTGGTTTGTTTCCCAACATATGGTCTATCGTTGAGAATGTGCCATGTGCGCGTGAGAAGAATGTGTAGTCAGATGTTTTTGGATGGAGTGCTCTGTATAAGTCTGTGAAGTCCATCTCGTCTAGTTTTTCATTTAAGTCTGCTGTTATTGACTTTTTGCCTGGATGATCTATCCATTGATGTAAGTGGGGTATTAAGATCCCCTACAATTATTGTGTTGTTCTTAATATCTCCTTTTAGGTTTGTTAATAGTTGCTTTATGTACTTTGGTGATCCTATGTTGGGTGCATTTATATTTATAATTGATATGTCTTCCTGGTGGAGTGTCACTTTTATAATTATATGTTCCCCCTCTTTGTCTCTCATTACCTGTTTTATCTTAAAGTTTACTTTGTCTGATATAAGTATGGCAACACCTGCTTTCTTTTGTTTGCCATTAGCTTGGAGTATTGTCTTCCATCCCTTCACTCTGAGCCTGTTTGTCTTTAGAGCTGAGATGTGTTTCCTGGAGGCACCATATTGTTGGGTCTTGCTATTTAATCCACCCTGCCACTCTGTGTATTTTGATTGGAGAGTTCAATCCATTTACATTTGGGGTAATTATTGATATATGAGGGGTTAATGTTGCTGTTTTATCACTTATTTTCTGGTTCTTTTGCATTTCCTTTGTTTCTCGTTCCGTGTGTTTCAGACTACCCATTCAGTTTGGTAGTTGTATCTGATGACTCTTTTCGTTTTCTCTTTATTTATCATATGTGATTCTGTTCTGATTATTTGTTTAGTGGTTACCTTGCAGTTTGTATAAAAAATCTTGTAGATGAGATATTCCATTATCAGATGGCCTCTTATTTCCTTAGGTTAAGTCAGTTCAATCCCTTTCCTCTTCCCCTTCTAAGTTATTATTGTCACAACTTATCCATCTTGTGTTGTGGGTGTGTGTTTAAAGTCATGAGGTTATATTTATTTTTGGTATTTTTCTTCCTCTGATCTTTGATTTTTGTATTTAAGTGGTTGCGAACCTGTTCTAATAAAGAGCTACTATTTTTCTGATTTTGTCTACCTGTTTTTCTCCTTACTCCAAGCTTTGTATTTCCTTTCTCTTTTCTTTTTTTTCAGGCATTAGGGCCTTCTTGAGCATTTCTTGTACTGTGGGCCTTGTGGCCATGAACTCCCTTAGCTTTTGTTCATCTGGAAAAGTTATTATTTCTCCATCATATTTTAAGGATATTTTCGCTGGATAGATTATTCTAGGCTGAAAAGTTTTTGTCTTTCAGGATTTTGAATATATCGTTATAATCTCTCCTATCCTGTAAAGTTTCTACTGAGAAATCTGCCAAGAGCCTGATGGGAATTCCTTTGTACGTTATTTTTTGTTTTTGTCTAGCTGCCCGTAATATTGTTTCTTTTGTTTTGTTTTGTTCTGTTTTTTGTGAGGAATATCAGCCCTGAGCTAACATCCATGCTAATCCTCCTCTTTTTGCTGAGGAAGACCAGCTCTGAGCTAACATCTATTGTCAGTCCTACTCCTTCTTTTCCCCAAAGCCCCAGTAGATAGTTATATATCATGGTTGCACATCCTTCTAGTTGCTGTATGTGGGACTTGGCCTCAACATGGCCGGAGAAGCAGTGCGTCGGTACGCGCCCGGGATCTGAACCCAGGCCACCAGTAGTGGAGCGTGCGCACTTAACCACCAAGCTACGGGACTGGCCCCCGTAATATTGTTTCTTTGTCATTGACTTTTGCCAGCTTTACTACTATATGCCTTGGACAGGGCCTTTTCGTGTTGATATATTTAGGCGGCCTATTGGCCTCATTTGCTGATATTTCCAGTTCCTTCCCCAGACTGGGAAGTTCTAAGCTATTATTTCCTTGAATAGGCTCTCTGTTCCTTTTTCCCTCCCTTCTCCGTCACGAATACCTATAATTCTTATGTTGCATTTCCTAATTTAGAGTTGGTTATTTCTCAGGGAATTTCTTCATTTGTTTTTAGTTTTAATTCTCTCTCCTCCATCTGGAGCATATCTGCATTCCTGTCCTCAATAATGTTAATTCTTTCCTTCATATTGTCAGCTCTGTTCTTTAAAGATTCCGGATTTTCCTTTATCTCCTCCTTTGTGTTCTTCATCTCCAACAATACTGATTGATTTTTCTTTATGGTTTCTGTCTCTTGTGAAGAAATTCCTTATCTCGTTGAATTGTTTATCTGGGTTTTCTTGTAATTTGTTGAGTTTTTTTATGATACCTATTTTGAATTCTCTGTTGTTTAGGTTATAAATATCTGTGCCTTCAGGGTTGATTTCTGGGTGCTTGTCATTTTCCTTCTGGTCTTAGGATTTAATATATTTTTTGCATCGTGCGTGCTGTATTTGGCTTTTTTTCATCTTCCTAAAAATATCTGGTTGCAATTTCCACCTGCCGTCACTGGGTGGATGTCAAGGGTTGTGTAGTCTGAGCCCACTGTGATCCGTGACTGCTCTAACTGACGAACTGAGCTGAAGTGCTGGGCGTTTAGGGGGAATGGGCTCTCTCTTTTGCTTGCCGGATCCCGGGGGGCTTCTGGTTTTTCCCTCACTATCAGCTTTCCTGGGGTGCTCAAATGTTGATGGCGCCCCTGCAACAGTTCCGACTCCTGTGTGGGAACTTCCCACAGGCTGTGAGAGAACTTGGAGAGCAACAGTTTTCCCGCAGAGGGCTTCCCCTCCCCCGCCCCAATCCCAGGAGCCCCACCCAAACCCCAGGAGCCACGAGGACCCAGAGATGCCGATCTGATGGGAAGGGGTAGATTTTCTGCTTACCTCTCCCCACTTCCTCCAGGGGTTCCAGCACATCCACTCTCAGTTGTGTCGCTGTTTGGGTCTTTCAGCTGTCGTTTTGTGTTGTGGGAGTGTCCTTTGTTGGTATGTGAATGTCGTTTTTATTGTATCTTATCGGGGAAAGCTTACGGGAAAGCTTACTCCACCATGATGCTCACATCACTCCCTGTAACAGTTTTTTAAAGGACCACCTCTTTGATTGATTTGTTAATGCTACTGCTTTCTTACTCGTTATATTCTGCTTTTACCTTGCTTTTTTTGCCTTCCTCTGCCTTGTCATGTATTTTCTACATATTGGGCTTTGATCCTCAACTCATTTTCTTTTAAAGAGAAAGTTTAAGTTTTGAGTTCTCTGAGTGGTAAAATTACATGCCCAAGATTCTATGTGCTTATTTTCTGTATAGTCATTTACTAAAATTCTTCCATTTCAGTTTTTTCTTTCCAAGTGATCCAGCATTTTTGGAGAGGGCATTACCATTTCCACTTGGAAACGCTTTTCGTTTTCTCATATTTGTTATTAATTTCTATTTTTATGCTATTTTGAATAATGTTAATATTATTTCAGCTTTTTGTACACATACCATAATCTCGTCACAAGAAGAAATTTTTTGCCCCCAAGTCATAGCCTCCTCATTAAGTGCTTTTGATTTTGCTCAAGATGTTGCTTCACATAGACTTTTATCCTTCAACCCACAACTGCCAATTCTTTTTCATATAATTCTTGGCAGTCTTCCTCTAGACTCTGTTGTATAATTCAGGTTCCCTCTTTTGTCCCAAGTCCCTAAAAGTTCACAATACCATAAGACCTGGTATGTTTCAGAATATTGATTAACATCCTTCTCCAGGGATTATCAGAATGGTTGGCCTTGGTTAAAAGGGAAAGCTAGAGAGGGACCTGAGAAAAGACATAAGAAATAAAACAGGTTGAACAGCTGTAAGGACAGTAAATAAAATCTTAGGAGAGGATAACTAAGTAAAGATTCTCAGTATCTTAATTTCTATGAAGCGCGAAAAAAAGTACACATGGCTGTATAGAGGAAAGTGAACTACTGTGGTGGAAATGTGTATTTTTATGGGAATTGTAATTGAAGAATGATCAGGTATAAATAATTGCCTTTTCAAATTTAATATGTGTATATATTTATAGTTTAGACGGAAAGAGTATGTTAGAGCTGGCTGTTAGTGGCTCTCTAGGGACAAGATTTGACATATTCTAAGTCTGGGTTTGTTTACATTATATTGATAGCTTGAAGTTTCCTTTGGTGGGAGCATATACACCATAGACATTGGCAAGCACTACAAATCAGGGCTGGGTGTGTTGTGTATGTTTCTGTGAGTGAGTGTGTGTGTGTGTGTAGAGCTGGTTGTTAAACATTTACCAGCACTCTACTGCAGAAACTTATTTTCTGAACTCTCCTTTTATGTTTTCAAGTTCATAACTGTGTTTTAGAGTTCTTTAAGTCATCTCTAATAGGTGAGATTTTCACTTTTGTCTTAATGCATTTGTAGAACATTTTCTTGTCAAGGAAACATTTCTTTTTCTTATTTGTTTTAGATCTGGAATCAAGATATGAAATAATTATCTCTGGAAAAATATACATATATACAGAACATTCATCTCTTATTCTAAAGCACAGAGTTTATAACGGAGAGAAACCCCATGAATGTAAGGAATGTGGGAAGGCGTTTGGTCGTCCTTCAGACCTTAGAGCACATCAAAAAATTCATACTGGTGAGAAACCGCATGTATGTGAGGAATGTGGCAAGGCCTTTCTTCGTCTTTCAGACCTCAAAGTACATAACAGAATTCATACTGGTGAGAAACCCTATTATTGTGAAGAATGCGGGAAGACCTTTAGTCGTACCTCAAACCTTGCTCAACATGGAAGAATTCATACTGGTGAGAAACCCTATGAATGTAAAGAGTGTGGGAAGACTTTTAGGACTAACCATGAACTTATTGTACATCATAGACTTCATACTGGTGAGAAACCCTATGAATGTAAGGAATGTGGCAAGGCCTTTAGTGTGCGTGGACGACTTATTCAGCATCAGAGTATTCATAGTGGTAAGAAACCCTTTGAATGTAACAAATGCAGGAAGTCCTTTAGGCTCATTTCAACCCTCAAAGTACATCAGAATATTCATACTGGTGAGAAAACCCTTTGAATGTAACAAATGTGGGAAGTCCTTTAGGTTTAGTTCAGTGCCCAAAGTACATCACAGAATTCATACTGGAGAGAGACCTTACGGAATATATGTATAGTAGATGATAGAATTATACCACTGAGAAACAAATTAAATGAAGAGAATGTTAGAAGGCTTTTTCAAGAAGGCTTATAAGGCATCAAATAATTTATATAGGCATGAACTGCTTGAATTTACTTTTTTTTTTTTTTTTTTTGGTGAGGAGATCAGCCCTGTGCTAACATCTGCGAATCCTCCTCTTTTTTTGCTGAGGAAGACTGACCCTGGGCTAACATCCATGCCCATCTTTCTCCACTTTACATGGGACACCGCCACAGCAGTGCGTCGGTGCGCGCCCAGGATCCAAACCAGCGAACCCCAGGCCACTGCAGCAGAGCGTGCTCACTTAACTGCTTGCGCCACCAGGCAGGCCCTGAACTCCTTGAATTTAAATAATGTTTGTAGTTTTTCAGTTATGGCCCAAATATTGTTCACATTTGGAGAATTTGTTTTGTATTTTATATAAGAAAGTCTTTTATAGCATTTTTCTATGTTTCATCACTCTGTGGCTATCCAAGCTGTGTGGCCAAGGTCACAAGGCAGGTATGTGCCACTCAGGAAATAGACCAGTGCCTGATTTGAAGTCATGGAGAACAGAAGACATACACACTGGGATCAGGTGCTACAGAGTTTACTTACAGCAAAAGAGGTGGTTGAATGCGCATGATCTAGCTCTTTGCAATGTGTCAGTAATCCCATGGCCCCATTTGGAGCAGATCAACTCGAAATCTTTTTTGACTTTTTCTTTTTTTTTTGTGAGAAAGATCAGCCCTGAGCTAACACCCGTGGCAATCCTCCTCTTTTTTTTTTTTGCCAGGGAAACTGGCCCTGGGCTAACATTCGTGCCCATCTTCCTCCACTTTATGAGGGACACTGCCACAGGTTGGCCTAACAAGTGATGCATCGGTGTGCGCCAGGGATCCAAACCCGGGCCGCCAGCAGCAGAGCGCACATGCTTAACCGCTACGCCACAGGGCCAGCACCTCAACTTGAAATCTGACAAGGATGTTGAGCTCTACACAACTCACTTTGTGGTGCAGTGGCAAGGCACCAACCCCTTCCCCATGAGGTCTGACGTCCAGAAAACAGTGAGTGTGCCTGAGGGCCATTGACATCTGTGATTAAGCAGAATAAAGGAGTGCACACTGAGTTTGACACAGGGAAGATATTTTCGCACAAGGCAAAAAGCCCCTCAGAGGCTGTGAGGGCTCTTTATCTTTAGGTAAGGAGGTGTTGCAGGCCCAACAAGGCCTATTCTTTTTCTTTCCCCCAGCATTACTGAGGTATAATTGACAAAATTATAAATGTAAGGTGTAGAAGTAGTGCTTAGTGGGAAATTTATAGCTATCAATGCTTCTATTAAAAAAAAAAAGATCTCAAATCAACAACCTAACTTTACAACTTAAGGAACTAGAAAACAAACAAAATTCAAAGCCAGCAGAAGGAAAGAAATAACAAAGATTAGAGCAATGATAAATGAAATAGAGAAAATCATGAAACCAAGTTGTTTTTTCAGAAAGATCAACAAAATTGCTAAGCCTTTAACTAGATGGACTAAGAAGAAAAGAGAGGAAACTCAAATTACTAAAATTAGAAGTGAAAGTGGGGACATTACTGCTAATTCTACAGAAGTAAAAGGATTATAAGAGAGTACTGTAAACAATTGTATGCCAAGTAATTGGGTAACCTAGATGAAATGGACAAATTCCTAGAAACTTAAAACCTACCAAGACTTAATCACAAAGAAATAGGAAATCTGAATAGACGAGTAACTAGTCTATAAGTAGTAGGGACATTGACTCAGTAATCAAAAATCTCTCAACAAACAAAAGCCTTGGACCTGATGGCTTCACTAGTGAATTCTACCAAACATTTAAAGAAGAACCAATACTAATCCTTCTCAGACTTTTCCAAAAACTTGAAGAGGAGGGAACATTCGTAACTTCTTCTGTGACACCAGTATTACCTGTTACCAAAGCCAGTGGAGTAGACTACAAGAAACAAAACCACAGAATAATGTCCCTTATGAACATGGATGCAAAAGTCCTCAACAAAACAGGAGGAAACCGAATTCAGCAGCATATTAAAAGGATTATACACCATGACCAAATGAGATGTTTTCCTGGAATGCAAGGATGGTTCAGCATATGAAAATTGGCCAATGTAATATATCACATCCACAAAAGGAAGGGAAAAAACCACATACTCATCTCCATTGAGGCAGAAAAAGCAGGTGACAAAATTCCACACCCTTTCCAGGTAAAAACACTCAACAAAATAGAAATAGAAGGAAACTATCTCCACATAATAAAAGCTATACATGAAACTATTTCTGCACAATAAAAGCTACATACGAAAAACCCACAGAAAACATAATACTTGATGATGAAAGCAAAAGCTTTTCATCTAAGGTTGGGAACAAGGCCATGATGCATACCTTCACCTCTTCTATTCAACGTAGTACTAAAAATTCTAACCAGATGAATTATGCAAGAAAAAGAAATCAAAGGCATCCTAATTTGAAAGGAAAAAGTAAAATTATCTCATTGCAGCTGATATTATCATATGTGTAGAAAATCCTACAGACGCCATAAAAAAGGTGTTAGGTCTAATAAGTGAATTCAGCAAAGTACCAGGATACAAAGTCAACACAGAAATATCAGATGCATTTCTATACGCTATCATCAATATGAAAATGAAATTTTAAAAACACTTCCACTTGCAATAGCATCAAAAAGAATGAAATACTTAGAAATTAACCAGGGAGGTAAAAGATTTGTACAATGAAAACTACAAAACATTGCTGAAAGAAACTAAAGAAGACTGAAATAAATGGAAACACATCTCAGGTTCATGGATAGAAGTCTTAATATTGTTAAAATGTCAACATTACCCCAAGCGATCTATAGAATCTATGCAAGTCACATCAAAATCCCAATGATATTTTTTGCAAAGGACAAAAACCCATCCTAAAATTCATTTGGAATTTCAAGGGACCTCAAATCGCCCAAACAATCTTGAAAATGAAGAAGAAAACTGGTGGACTCATACTTCCTGATTTTAAAACTTACAACAAAGCTATAGGAATCAAACAATATGGTCTTGGCATAAAGATAGACATATATAGGCCAATGGAATAGGATAGAGAGCCCAGAAATAAACCTTCACATATATAGTCAAGAGATTTTTCACAAGGATGCCAAGAGCATTCAATGGGGAAAGGACAGTCTTTTCAAAAAATGGTGCTTGGAAAACTGGATATCCACGTGCATAAGAATGAAATTGGACCCTTACCTAACACCATGTACAAAAATTATCTCAAAATGGAAGAAGGACCTAAACATAAGACTTGAAACAGTAAAACTCTTAGAATAAACCATAGGACAAACACTTCATGACATTAGATTTGGCAATGATTTCTTGGATATGACACCAAAGGCACAGGTAACAAAAAATAGGCAAAATAGACTTCACGAAAATTAAATGTTGTGCATCAAAAGACACTAGCCATCTGACAATGCCATTGAAGCTAATGGAGTATCATAATCAACAAATCAGTTTTGGAAATCACTTTCCTGTAGCTACACATCTCCTTCATTAGAAGAGAATATGTGGGTCATTGTCATCCAAAAGATAAAAGACACTATCCACAGAGTAAAAAGGCACCCCACAGAATCAGAGAAAATATTTGCAAATCATATATTTGATAAGTGATTAATATCCAGAATATAGAGAAATTTTTAAAAACAACAAAAAACCACCCAATTCAAAAATGGGCAAAGGACTTGAATAGATATTTCTGCAAAGAAGATATATGAATGGGTAAGGAGCACATGAAAAGATGCTTAATCATTAGGGAAATGCAAATCAAAACTACAGTCAGATATAACCTCACACCCATTAGGATGGCTACTGTAGTGGAAAAAATGAGAAAAGAGCAAGTGTTGGTGAGGAAGTAGAGAAATTGGAACCTTTCTGCACTGTTGATGGGAATGTAAAATGGTACAGCTGTTGTGGAAAACAGTATGGAGGTTCCTCAAAAGATTAAAAATAGAATTACATATGATTCAGCAATTCCAATTCTGGGTATATACCCAAAAGAATTGAAATCAGGATCTCAAAGGGATAGTTCTACAACCATGGTCATAATGGCGTTGTTCACAATAGCTAAATGATGGAAGAAACAGAGTTTCCATCATTGGATGAATGGATAAGCCAAATGTGGTATATTCTGCAATATGCTACAACCTGGGTGAACCTTGAGGACATTATGGTAAATTAAATAAGCTGTCACAAAAGGCAAATGTTGTGATTTCACTTATTTGAGGTACTTAGAGTAGTCGGAATCATAGCTAGAACTTGGAATGGTGGTTGCCAGTGGCTGGGGGGAGGGGAGAATGGGAAGTTACTCTTTAATAGGTACACAGTTTCAGTGTTACAAAATGAAAAGAGTTATGGGCATGATGGTAGTGATGGCTGCACAACAATGTCAATGTATTTAATACCACTAAACTGTATACTTACAAATTATTAAGATGGTCACTTTTATGTTGTATTTTAAAACAACAACAACAAAATTGCACAGACTGGGTGGCTTAAATGACAGAAATTTATTTTCTCATAGTTCTGGAGACTGGAAAATCAAGATGTCAGCAGGTTTGGTTTCTTCTGAGGCCTCTCTCCTTGGCTTGCAGATGGCTGCCTTCTCATTACATCCTCACATGGCCATTTCTCTGTGCATGTGCATTTCCAGCTGTCTCTCTGTATGTCTTGATCTACTTATAGGGACATTAGTAAGATTGGATTAGGGTCCACCCAGATGACCTCATTTTATCTTAATTACTTCTTTAAAGCCCTATCTCCAAATACATTCTGAGGTACTGGGGGTCAGAATGTCAACATAGGAATTTTGGGGAAACACATTTAAGTTCATAACTTTGGTCAAACTGATGCAGCATGGCCCAAGGCCTCAGGCATACAAAAGCACTGTTTTTAGACAGGATATTCCAAGGGC